TGTCCTGCCTAAATTTACAATTAGTGGCTACATTCACTCTACCACACATCCAAGCTAGATAACGCTCCACTAGCACTTGAACATAGTTCCAAATAATAAAAAAAAATGTTGGTTTCAAATAAACTTGAAAATACTATGATAAGATGATAACTACAAACAAGCTAGAAAATGACAAATGTTGGTTTCAAATAAACTTGAAAATACTAGGATAAGATGATAACTACAAACAAGCTAGAAAATGACAACAAAAACAACAATTTTTTTAGACACGCACGTGCATATTAACTAGTATTAGTTAATACACATATAGTTTAAGGTATATTTGTACATCGTAAGCAAAAGGATTATGCACTATTGAATATCTTTGGTTCCACATTTGTGCTTACATGAATTGAGATTGAACATTTTTATTTTCTAGCATATTTTCTTTTTACCCCCTCAAATTGGCAACTTATTTTATTAGTTGTGAACATGGTATACACATAAAATGGACAGGATTATCATCACTCAAAAGGAAGCAAATTGTGGAAATAAGGAACGTTTGAATGTAGAATAGAATGATGTCCGTATCAAACAAAGTATTCTGTGACAAACTATACAACTGTTCTCTATCTTTACGTACTAGTAAGAGCCCGTTTGAACCCCAGGATTCTGAGGATTAGATAAAAACCTCAGTGTAACCAAACAGACCGGATTATGGGAGGAATAACAAAAATCTCAAAAGACATTCATGCCCCCTACCTTGTCCTCTGGGGCATCCGTCATCCCCTTCCATCCAAGACCGTCACACCTCCAAGCCGCCTCCTGTCCGCCCGATTCACACCAGCGTGAGGTGCACCGCCTAATCTAATCCATAATATTTGCTGCCTGCTCCACCCATAAGCGCAAGGACAGCTGTTCCGTTAAGCTTGAGCAAGGTTGCCGTCGCTACATCTTGCTCGCGTGAACTACGCCGCCGCCGCCGCCACGGCTCGCCCAATCCATACTGCCGCTGCTCCGACCCTCAAGCGCAAGTCTGATTGTCGCCGCTCTGCCTTTCTCCCATGAACCGCACCGCCGGTCGCTCGAGCCGCATCGTCGCTGCTCCATCCCTTCAACGCGAGTCGCTTGGGCCTCAGTTGTGCTCGGCACCACTCGGTGATGGGAGGCAGATAACAAAGAATGGTTTAAGAAAATTTAAGCAAGAGATAGGGTATTATAGACCATGTGCACAATGTATCACATATAATCCGTAACTAGAATCTTGAAATTTGAACACCATAATTTTTTATTATCTAGAATCCAGTTGTAGAATTATTGCACTAAATCTAGATTCCACTCCCTCTGTCCTATAAATTGGGTTGTTTGGGAGAGAGACTGCTTGTACCAAGGAGATGGGGGAAGAACCTGCATGCCCCTACTAGTACAGTATAAGCAGCAGCAGACCATCAGACAATGCTCAAACTCCTGTGTGCTGGTACGGTACTTATGCGTAGGAGGTGAAACGTTGCCCAGCGACACTTGTTATTATGGGACAAAATTTAAATCCTAGAATGATTCTTTTTATGTGAGAGTATCTCTGAGGTATTCAAACGGCACCAAAATGTTGTAGGCTTTTTATTATTGGGATTCCAAATCCAAGAGATACGTCCCGTGGTTCAGCAGTGGAATCTCGTTATTCATTCAATTGGTTCAAACCTTCAATTCCCTCTCGCACACAAGAAATTCTCATACTACGGAGTACTTCTCTTGCGCTGCTAGGCTGCAACTGCACTGCAACGAAGGCCTTCTCGTAGGATTGCAGCAGAATCAGCTATCCCACGGCGACAGGGGATGTCCACTGTAGCTTTTCGATTTTCGTGCCAAAAGTTTCATTTAATTAGTAGAAAATACGTGCAATCTCCAAATAAATTTATTAAAAAAACTACTCCCCGTACTAAAAATATAAAGTCGTTTTTAGAGAGCGACACGGTCTCCAAAGTATTACTTTGACTCCTTGTTTTTATAAAAATATTTATCAAAAAGTGATATATGTATATTTTTATGAAAGTATTTTTCAAAACAAATCTATTTATATAGTTTTCATATTTCTAAACTCAACAACTTAAAAGTTATTCATGATTTATATTCCTAATATTTGCTTATCAAAACGATTTTATTTTTTAGTACGGTGGGAGTAGATTCAAAGACATTTCCAAAGATGTCAATTATGGATCATAAATATTAATATTTTTTAATATATATTTTGTCAAAATTATTTTTCGTGAAAACGAGACGTATTTTGAGATGGAAGGAGGAAGCCGGTAGCAAGCCCTACGGTTATAGATGGCCATCGGGCCGTGTCGGCCCGGCCCGGTGGCCCGGCGTGCCGTGCCGGCCGTGCCGTGCCTAGGCCATGCTTGTGCCTGGCCAACGGCCCATGGCACGGCCCGTGGGCCGTTTTGCCGTGCCGTGCCGCCTGGTGGGCACGGCCATTTTCACAGGGCCGTGCCGCCCCATGGCCCATGATGCACACTTCACAGATCGTAGTTCACAGTTCACACTTCACAGAATCAAAGTTTCACAGTTCACACAATCACACTTCACAGAATCAAAGTTCACACTTCTTTCACAGTTCACAGTTCACAGTTCACACTTCACAGTTTCACAGAAAAGAGAGAAGACAGACACAGCACACAGATGACAGATCATATGATGATGAACTTATATTTAGAATGAGCTATTTTGTGCAATGCTGCCTCATTAAAAATCTTTCTAGGTAAAACTCACCCTTGTGAGAAACTCTAGAAAGAAAAAAAGAGTACAACCAACTCTAAATGTCAAAGTCTTATAGTTCTATCCTATTAGGATAGCCAACATCAGTGACAAAGTCATTGTGACTTAGTGAGTTCACATATCACAGCAACAGGAAGCCAAGAACAGCAAAAGTTCTATCCTATTACAACATCAGGTCATGAGTGGCAAAGTTCTTCCTTCATTGATCATAGTGACTCACTCCAGCACACCAAAAGTTCCTGCAAGCAAAGCAATGTTAGTACCAGCAGTACTTAAATGTAAAGAAAAGATGCAAAATGGAACTTGAATGTTGAGTGACTATCTCTTATCTTCTTCTTCTTCTTCTATCCACCGTCGCCGAGGGGATGCTGATTCTCCCCCCGCGTTGTGAGGCTGGAACCGCCCGCGGACGAGCCGGACAACCGCGCCCGACCTTGACCTCCAGCAGCACCAGCACCGCCCCTCAACGGGTGCTTGGGCGGCCTAGCCATGTCTACTCCAGAGGAGGAAGACGTGGCGTCAAGCACCAACCTGCACGCAAGAAGAAGTTAGAAGAAGTGAAGAACTAAAGAAGAAGAAGTGAGAAGAAGACGAAGAAGTGAGAAGAAGAAGAACAGATGACAAATCTAGGGTTAGGATTAGGGAAGAAGTCCAACCTGTGTACCCGGAGCCCGATGCCGGTGATGAAGAGGCTAGCCAAGCAGCGGATGAGACAGACAGACATGGATTAGAATCAACGGCGAGGTGGTGGAGGAGGAGGGACAGCCATGAACACTCACATGGCTCACCGAGAGGGGAGTGAGGGAGTGAGAGTAGAGGAAAAGGAGGGAGGAGGAGACGGCGGGGAAGCAGGGACCAGGGAGGAGCATCGGCGCGGTCACCGCTCACCGGTGATGGGGAGGACGGACGAACGTTGGCGTCAGCGGATCTGGATCGAGAATGGGAGAGCGGAGCGAGAGCGAGAGACTGAGAGAGCCGCGGCGGGGGAGAGGATTAGGTTAGGGTTTGGGAGGGGGATGCGCCGCGGCCGAACAGCTTATATACGACGAGGGAGAGGGGTGTGTGGGGTGGGCCAGCAGCCTACCTTCGTGGCTTCATAGGCCGTTTCTCCGACCGGGCCGTGCCACAGGCCAGGCCGGCGGCCCCGGCACGGTCACGGCGGCCACCGGGCCGGCGGGCTGCATGGCCAAATATACCTACGGCAGACGGCAAGCAGAGGCTACGACGTCCCACAGTACCCTACAACGCTGAGGGCTGAGGCCCTGCCCTCATTTCAGTTTCAGCTTTCAGCCTTTCACAGCCATCACACTCCAATCAATGTGAGGAGCAAAGCGAAACACGAGCACCCCCATCAATCGCCGCAGCGCAGCATGTCTGTCACTCGCACGGTCACTCACTCCCCATCCCACCTCCCTCTCTCTGTCTCTCTCTCTCCGGTCTCATGCAGCAGCAGGCCAGCAGGCTTCTCGCAGAGGCACAGCCTTGCCCAGAAAAAGCAAGTCGCACACAGCTGACAGCTGCTATGCCCTGCACGAGAACCGCACGGACACACGGTGAAGCACATCAATGGCCGGGGCACCCGCATCCACAGTCCACACCCCACCCTTGGCAAAACGGCATTTCTCATGACCAGAACAGCTCGAATCATTCACATGTTCGAGCAAGCAAACAAGGCACCATGGGCCATGGCAACAGCCAGCACGCACAGAAGCTCAACCAAAAGAAGAAAGCAAGCAATGCCAACAGACACGAAAAAGCACTCGCCTCCTTTACCACAACCACGGCTGCTACGTACTAGTCCTTCCAGCATGAAACAAAGCTTTGCCATTACAGTAGGCCGGCCTGGCGGACCAAAAATTTCACATCCCGCACCCAGTGATACACTAGTACTATTAAAAATCTTTCACCGCTCGATCCGTGTCATGTTCATTCATGTACACGTGAGACGCGAGACCTTGGAGCTTCGGCAAAAACAAAACGCGGAGTCCCTGCCGCTCCCTCGCGCGCCCGATCCAACAAAGCCAACAAAATCACCCAACCACCAGCTAATTACATTTGGATCCGGGGCCCTTGGCTCCCCACCCATGCGACCCAAGAACCAGAGAACTGCCTTGCACTGTCCTACTGCTGCAACTGACTTGTAGTACTGTATTATAATACTCGTGGTACTGTGGTAGTAGTATTATGAGTTGAGTTTATATGCCTATCGTGTGCTGCCGACGGAGCGAAGTGGCGGCTCCTATGGCCTACGGGGTGGTGGTGGGGTCGACGCAGGTGGCGACGCGGACGGAGAGCTCGTACGGGAACGAGTTGGCGTACTCGAAGGAGATGGTCTCGCCGCCGAGCAGTGGCCGGCCGTCGTTGAGGAGGCAGTCGTCGTGGCCCAGGCGCCTGAACTTGCGAGGGTCCACCAGGCTCACCGAGCTGAACCACCCGCACCGCACGTGGATGCCCGCGATGGCGCAGTCGCCGCCGTCCAGGTCACCCATGCACTGGTTGATCACGTCCACCTTGTACGCCGGCACCCCGCCCGGCAGCGACGACGCGTGGCCCTGGTAGATGGCGATGTCCTCCGCGCCCGCGCACCCCTCGTCCATCCGGCTCGGCCGCACCGGGCCTCCTGCTGCTCCTCCGCTGCCGCCGGCGACGCCTGCATTATTGCCGGTGCCACGGCACAAACAAACAAACAAAAATGTGAGACGGGCCGGAGTGCAGTTGTGTATAGGTGCAAGCAGCAGTGCAAATGAGAATCATGGGCCCGCTTGTCATGCAGGCGCCGAAGCCAACGGGCCCCCCACGCTTCGCTATCGAGGCTACGACAGAACGAATCAATGGAAGGTTTGGAGCCAGCAGATGGCCCCGGCTTTGCTTCCCCCTTCTCCCGCCTCCTGAAGAGGAGGTCGTTTCGAACCCCACGACAAAACAGTGCCAGGGATGGGGCCGCACGACCGCGGGGACGGAGGGCCCGCGGGAGCAGGGGACGGTCGGAGAAAGCGCGGGGCCCCAGGGGGGCGCTGCATACACCCCCGGCTCTGGCCGTCAGACCGGCGGATCGGACGGCGAGGGATGGATGGACGGACCGGAGGGAATGGGCGAGTAAGTGGGAGGCGGGGACGTGGAGCACGAGTAGGACGGGACGGGGCTTGCGGTTTACCTGGCGGTCGGAGGATCTTGCGGGGCAGCGGAGCTGGCACCGGCACGGGCACGGGCAGGGCGGCAGCGACGGCGCGGAGTGCCGGGCGCGGCGGACCCGCTGGTACGGCGGTCGGCGGCGGCGAGAATCCTGCAGCGACACATGGGATTGGTTGGATGGAAGCGTTAGTCAAGGGCCTAAACGAAAAGGCGAAATAATTCCAATCAAAAGCGAACAAAAAGATCAAATAATTCCAGAGAAAAATATCTCGCGGTTTCGAGAATCCAACGAAACATAGTAGCACCTTTTGCATCAAACAAAATCATGCATTAGGCGAGCACACGAGTTCATGAATCGGTACAATTTTTTCCTAAAGGAGTCGTGCTGTGATACTGATACAGCAGCGTAGATTCATTCTAGATTTCATGGAGTTCGTGATGGTGATGATCGAAGCTAGAATAGAAAAACAAAATAGATTCGATGGAGGAGATTAATTAATCAAAACCTCTCTGGCTAGCCTCCAACAGAAAAATTGATGAGAAAAAACCTGGATTATGGAAACAAAATGCTCAAAAAAATCCCAACAAATACAATCGAGAGTACGGCGGCGGAGTACGTTGGTACTAGATTGGAGCAACGGAACCGAAAAACAAAACAAGGCCAAATTGCCGTGGCGGAGAAGTAGCACGACGGAAACAGCACCTGCGTCGTCGGAGGCGGCGAGGGAGGCCGAACCGAGCAGCACGGCGAACCAAGCCGATGCCACGATCGCCTTCAAGGCGGCCGACGAGGATGCCCTCATCCTCATCGCGCTGAGACCCTGCAGCGAACACGGACGCCAGGAGTTAGAGAGTTGAACAGATGAATTTGCGAGGCACGTCGACGAAGCCTTGAACAGAGAAGCACCCCACATCTCTACTGGCATGCAACGAAGCCTGGCTATAAGGCATTGCGGCAGTGGTGCCTAACCAGGGAGCGGCCACAAGGGAGACCACCGCGACGCGCGTCCCCGGTGAGCGGACTGGCATGCAGACCTCGCCGCCGTGTCGAGCAGAGTCGGTGCCCTATAGCCAGGCGGTCGCGGAACGAGAACGACGACGACGCGTCCATGCGCGAATGGCGGCCGCCGGGACTCACGGCGGGACCAACGGAACGCACACAAGCTCGCACGCTCGCAGACCCGGCGGTTGCTGAGGGGGCGGGGAGCGGGAAAGGACGGACGGACGGACGGGATGGCGGCGCCTACCTGGAGGAGCTGGAGTCGTTGGAGGCAGAGGCGGTCGCCGGTGACGTCGTCGACGTCCTCACAGCTCGCCGCCGGCGGTCGTGTCGTAGGGTTTGGTTCCTTCCACCGTCCCGGTCCTCGCCCCAACTCCCTCTCGGATCGCACGTGCTGCTGCTGGTGGCGGTGGCGCGGACGAGGACGGGCGATGCGCGAGGCGAATGCTTGCGAGAGGCGTGCGGCGGTGGAGTTGCTGCTGCTGCGCCGCGCCGTGCGCCCGCCCCGTACGTGACGCTGGGTTATATACTAGTAGTACTAGTGGGAGGTCGATGAGATGGAGATGGAGATGGAGATGGAGACGGGCGATGGGATCATGGAAGCCAAGCCAAGAGCGGAGAATGTGTGTGTGTTGGTGCTGGGTCTGGTGGGTCCGGGAAGGGAGGGAGGGCAGTGGACCAGGCGCCGGCAGAGGCTGCTGCGAAAGCGATCTGGTCTGGTCCGCTTCTGGTCAAGGCTGCCGTGGCACTGACCCAAGGGAAAGGGAGGGCAGTGGCAGGCTCAAAGGCTTCGGCCTTTCGGTCTTTTGAACCCTGGAACGAATTTCACCGGATCTTTCTGGAGCTCCGTTTTGAAATTCAAGTTTGGATCCTCGTGCCACTGCTAAACAGCTGGCCTGGTACTGTATATCCGTAGACCGTAATAGATTATCGCAAAAATTACGGGGCGACGGAAAATGGCTGTGCGTCCGCACTATACGGATACGGTGGCAGCGCAAACGAAAACGAAGAGATGGAAGATATTTGCGGTCCGCCTAAAAAAAAGTTTGCTGGGGTGAACGGTGATGACCTCAAATGAAACGATCCGTGTGAGGCCCGGTTCGGCAGGGGCCGGCGCTCCTCTACCACCTAGCCTGATCTGCCGGCCGTTTCGTACTTAGCGTTCCTCTACCACCCAGCTGCCGCCCGGAGATGGTCGTCGGCGGCGAGCCGGCGACGTAGAGGCTACCGACCAAATCATGGGATACTCATGCCACACGTGCCGCGTGGCCGCAATAGATACCACGGAGTACTAGACCGGTGAACCCACCTCTCGTCTCTACAGTCGTATATATAGATATATATACCACTTTGACTCTTTGAGTACGTAATTACCTGCACACGGCACGTGTGCCTGTTCGTCGTGGTCGTGGGCTGCATGCCTCTACCGTCCGGCGAAGTGGCCGTGCTCAAAATGGAACAGGAGCGGCATCATGATGCTGGGGGCATGCACGTTCGGACGTCTACCGGTACATGGTGAGCGAGAAGGGACAAAACCGTGTCCTTGCCTCTCTGCATTGCCCATTTTCCAGTTTGCCACCAGAGGAAAGTGCGCGTCCCAGCCAAAAAGAATTACGTTCATGACAACTCGGGCCGAATCGGTGGTGTCTCGGTCTCCTACTGTCTCGGACTCATGGTAATTTTCCCTCCATGCAATTCTCTGTTTTCCTAAATATATATAAGTTATAAAACGAGCTAAGAAGTAACTCAGTGGTTGGAACCCAGTAGGCCTTGTTTGGCGGCCCGTGTGTTACATACACATGTAACTTACATCACCGGTGTAGTTGGTTGATCAACCGCGTCCACTGAATCCATTGGAACTGAAACCACTTCAAAGCTACTACTCATTTCGAAGCACATGTGGCTTGCCACACGCTGGTTAGCTACTCATTTGGAACCAATGTTCATCTCACTGATAATCAAACTTTTTCAACCAGTTAGACAAGAAATCAAAGGTCATAGAATTCAGTAAACCTTCTGAAAACAAGAAACTAGAAAATCAGCCGAGAGTGCCAAGAGACTCAAAAGAGCCGGCCACACAAGTATTTACAGAGCCAACAAGCCAACTAGCCGTAGATCAAAAGGCCCCATTCTGCTCATGCACAGAACATGTCCCATGCGCACTGGATTTGCCAACAACTATTTTCTAATGGCTCCGAAACTAGCCGCGTCCGATATACCTGTCTGGTGCACGCTGGACTGGTTCAGTGACTGCAACTCCCAAACACCCCCACATTATAAGCTCTCTGGTCGAATAGTGTGGTGTGGCAGTCCGGTGCCGCACCTGACACGTCCAACGGGATTTGAATGGACTCCTCCGGCGGGTGCACGTCCGGTGCACACCAGAGTCCATTGTGCTCCGCTGAAAAAACGGCCAAGTCTGCACACGATCCGACGCATCCGGTGAGCACATCTGGTGAGTGCTAAACAACCAAAATAAGTGTTCAATTAAATAGATCCAAACATAAAAAGATTCAAAATTATCATCCAGAACACATAGAAAGGGCATTTAGCTTACCGTCGGTGTTTCGAATAAACACCAACTAGTAAATTTATATTTATTATGCGTTAGGTCCGGATGGTGTGCTAAAGGACACAATATTTATATTGGTTCAGGCAGAATGTCCCTACGTCCAGTCTGCTACTACTCGTGTTATTAGCACCGAAAATGGTTTGTAGTAGGGATACAACGGTTCGAGAGAGGGACAGGTCCCAAGTCTCTGATGGAAGAGTCGAAAAGATGCCAAGAGCTTGGTTGCTGCTTGGCTGTGTGTTGTGTGATTGGTTGTGTATGAAAAAATCGATCCGTCCCCTTAGTGGGGCATCCTGTTCTTCCTTTTATAGACCAAGGGGGAGCAGGGGTTACAGATGGGAGAAAGAGGAAAAAACCAAAGGTAGATAAGGTCCTTCGAAGGTGTCGGGTCTTCCTTTTCCCTTGAGCCTGCCCTGCTGACATGGCAGACCACGCCATGGATAGCACGTTTCGTTGATCCTGATAGGGCCGGGCTCTGGCTTCGTTTCAGCGAGTGGTCACGTCCCATTCTCCTCCGGCGGACGGTGCAGTGTGTTAGGGTGCCGAGCCATGACTCTGTGGGGAGTAGACGGGGAAGTGACTATACACCTGTTACTGTTGATGATGTGAGTTCCCTCTTGGATTGTAGTGGTTGTCGTATGCTCATGTTAGGATCCGCGGCCGAGGGTTGATGGCGGCGCCCACAACACTGTAAGACTAAAGTCGGCGCCTACAACACTGTTCGGCCTCTGCCATGCCTGGAAGGGCTTACGTGCCCATCCCATCGTATCCTGATGGTACTTTTCTGCAGGCGTGCAGGGTATGGTCCTCGGTACTGCGGTTGACTCAAATGTCCTATCTTACCTCGTGCCCATCATCACGAAGGAGCAGGGCGCAGTCGTCGGGGCAGGCGGGACCAACCCTCAGACGTCGGGCGAGGTGGAGCCTGCCCTCGAACGTTTGGGGAGGCGAAGCCAGCCCTCGGACGTCGGGCGAGGCGGAGCCAGCCCTCGGACGTCGGGCGAGGCGGAGCCAGCCCTCGGACGTCGGGCGAGGCGGAGCCAGCCCTCGGACGTCGGGCGAGGCGGAGCCAGCCCTCAGCCGTCGGGCGAGGCGGAGTCAGCCCTCGGACGTCGGGCGAGGCGGAGCCTGCCCTCAGACGTCGGGCGAGGCGGAGCCAATCTTTCGTCGTTCGGGCAAGAAGTGTAGTAGCGTTTTTGTCTGATCGGAAGCGTCAACGTTCGATGGTTATTAGCTCCACCTCGTTGGGTACCCTGGTATTAGGTCCCCAACAGTAGACCCTGAGCCCCGGGTGATTCGGATAGAATCACCCGGAGGATATTTTGATTCGCCAGAGGGTGCGCGCGAGCGCACCCGTAGGGTGTAGCCCTCGGGGCCCCGTGTGATTCGGATAGAATCGCCCAGGGGGTATTTCGGACCTTTCACGGGTATAACTATGAGATTTGGTGTTTTGACAACTAGATAACTTAAAGGAAACCCTGGTATCCTGTTCGTGGGGATTCGTCCGGGGTCATCCCGGTCGAGGCTCCCTTGAGGCTCGTGCGCCTGAGTTTTGGTTGCTCGTAGGCCCATCCCTCGTTGGGACGGCCGTCGAAACTGTTGGGTCAGCCCTCGAACTCCTGGGCCTAGGCGGGCCGAAGAAATGTTTTTTGACCCGTATCCCCTCTGTGGGAAAAGTGTCCTAGTCTGCTCGGGAAGGCGAAACGTCCGGTGCGATTTTGGTGGGAAAGGATAGGGATCGCGGGCGTATATCCCGCGACGTGACACGGGGGTGTATCATGGCAGGCTCAGAGACCTAGGCGGGCGATTGCTCTTCTCGCATCCATCGCCCCTATAAAACCAAGGGGTTCGCCCCCAGGGTTCCGTACTTTGCCTCCTCGCCTTTGCATCTCCAACCTCCGCCACCAATCGCCTGAGCCTCCCGCACCCGCATCATAGCCGGCGTCATGCTTGCATCCAACCCCCTCCCAATCGTTCAATGGAGCCGTGGTGCAGATCCGACATCACCCCTCAGCGCCTGGAGGGCCTCGTTCGCCGTGGCCTCCTTTGCCCGTTGACCGCCACCAAGGATTGTCGGCTGCCCGGTAATGAGGATGAGCCGTCGCCGCCCGAAGGCTACGTGGTGTCCTTCGCTCGCTTTCATGAGCGGGGATTCACCACCCCCGCCCACAAGTTCCTTCGGGGGCTGCTGGATTATTACAAGGTGGAGTTGCAGCACCTTACTCTTAATGGGGTCCAGCACATTGCGGCGTTCGTCACCCTATGTGCGGGGTTCTTGGGGATTAGTCCCCACTTCGACCTGTGGCGGTATCTCTTCGTCGTCAACCTTCTGAAGAAGCGGGCCAGGAAGCAAGAGCTGAGCGTGCCGATGGGATGTGCCGGCATTCATCTTTGCAACAACCGGGTGAACGAATACCCGTCGATGCGTCTATTGACCTCCAATAAGGGGTGGCATTCGCATTGGTTTTATGTCAAGGATGACGTTGCCGCCCCCTTGCTAGCATTCTCCGGGCGTATCATCGAAGAGGTCCCAGAGTCG